TGATCCCTCTGGGACAGGACCAGGGAGTCCAACAGAGATGCGTGTATGTCAGCTTCATCACTTTTCCATTCATTCAGCCAAAACTGAGGGCTGACTGTGTGCTCAAATCAATGTCACCTTAGGGAAATAACTCACTTGCTCTGAGCTTAGTTTCCTCATCTGCAAAATGGAAAGAGCCCCTGCCCTACAGGGCTATTGTGAAGGTGAAAGGAAATAACACCAGTGAGGTCCTTCGCCACATTTGGTATCTATTTTTAGCACCAAGGCAGTATGCGCCCACTATGTGCCCAAACCCCTGATGCTGCTGCTGCCTCCTTCCCAGAATCAGAGCCCAGAGGCAGGAGGGAATGTGGGCAGGTCTGTTTCCACCTCGCTTTCCCACTCTCCCCTCACAGGAACCCAGGGCCAGCAGGAGGTGAAGTTCTGCCAGCCCCCAGCCTGGGCCCAGCGCCCATGTTTATGACTGTTTATTTCAGAGCAAGTAGAAAGGAGAAATTAGAGCCATGAAAGACAGGACAACGGACCAATAAAAACCAGCTCCCAGAAGAGTCAGAAGGAGGAAGACAGGCAAAATTGTCACCATAGCAACACAAGACAGTCAGAAGCACGCAGGGAAAACAGCCCCTGCTCTGCCTCCTGTCTCCACTGCAAAGCAAGCCCTCGAACCCCAATCGGAGATCAGTGAAAGCCGACAAGGATCCACCCAAAGAACCCTGGTACCCAAGACCAGACCTGGCTAGCAGCCACTCTAACCCTACTGCCCCAGGACAAGTCCCAGCCTTCCAGGGTCCCAGATCAGCATTCTGTGCCCTGGGGACTCAACACTGTGCAGATGGCCAAGGTCCCATCCAGAGGAGATAGTGACTGGTGACAGAGAGGAAAGTTTCTAACAGGGAGAAAAGGAGGGTCACAGAGCTTCAGGGGAGATCAGGGCCCTAACCTCCAGCCCCATGACCCTGTCTTGGGTTCCCTGGGGAGCGGGCTGGTAAACAAGGGTGTGGGAGAGGATATCAGGCCCTGTACCTAGAAAGATTGCTCCATCCGTTCTGGACCTGGCAGCCCCAAAACAGTGGCTGGGGGAATTCTGGGGATGGGTGGGGAAATAGCTTTGGAGGCCTTAAATGACAAAGATCTTGGCCCTGGTCTCTGAGGACATTGGCTAGAGAGTAGGAGCAGCTTGGAGGAGGACCCACGGACGGGCTGGTACATTTTGACGGAGAATGTCTCCTGGCAGACAAGACAGGTGTCTCCACCAAAAAGCATGGCTGGCCTGGGACCAGCATTTTGGGAAGTGGGTCAAATTGTTCCCAAAGCTCAGTATTGGAAAAGCGCCTTTTGCCAAACTGGGGTTCTGGGTTCTGGGGGAGGAGAGAGGGTGACAGCAAGGAGTGCTGGGTCCCAGGCACAGCAGCATTCTGGCTGGCTAAGAACGTCTGTGGCAAGTGGCAGCAAAAGGATCCAGGTGTGTAGGGGCTGGGGAGGGGGTCATCCTCCCTTTGGGGCTGTAGAGTACACAGCGGCCCGGGGCCTCAGCCGGTGGGAAGGGGAGGGTTAGGGGTCCCCTGCAAGAATGGAGCTTACTCTCCACCTGGGGTGGGGAGTGAGTGAGTGAGGGACGAGGGAGGGTGGTCTGGGAAAGGAACACAATCAGGAACACTCAGAAAGAGGGCAACGGGGCACAAAGCCGGACCTCTGGCCGGCGACCGCTGGAGAAGGGCTCCTGGACGGTATCCTCTGCTCTCCCTCCCTCCCGAAGGCTGCAGGGGCGTCCGGGAGGAGGATAGCCGGGAGGAGGATAGCCGGGAGGCGCCCGCCCCG